TTGAGATATTTATAGACAACTGAAATTTTCAATTTTTCAGAAATTTTTTTTTGAAGTGTCGATAAAAATTTTTTGGCCCTATCAAAATACTTGAAAATTTAATACAGAGTTTTTCATAAGTTAATCTTATAGTGATTAAAAAATTATCAGAATACATAAGCACAATTTTTTTTTATAAGCGTTTATAGTTCAAATTTTTACGAAATCTGTCAAAAACGCGAAAATTTGCAAATAATTTTGAAGTTGAAAAATCATAAAATTTTTTGTATTTATAACTAAGGATTAAAAATACAACACTAAGTTTTCCTTCAAGTAGCTATAGAGAAAACTCGAAGAAACGAAGAATCAATAATATAGGAAAAATTTTAAGTGCGTTTGAGTTTTAAATTTTTATGAAATCGCGTAATGATAACGATTTATCCTCAAACCAGGTATATGTTTATCTATGATAATATAAAGTATTATGAATTATGATAACTACATGCAATGATTTTGGAAAAATTGGTTAATCATGCCTTATTCAAAATGCGTCCTAATTGAAAAATAATTTATTTGTTTCAAAATAGAATATATGACAATATTTAAATATAATATATTCTAGACTGACAAATCATCTCCGTTCAGAATCGTTTTTCGTATACAATGTTACCAATCATTGCATTCAAATTTAATCCCATCCATTACAGTAACCTACTGTACAGCAGAGCGACATCCACGACTTACCAGCTTTTTTATTTTTACCCTCCCCCCTAGTCACTCGACACCACAGCTTTCTCATATCTGCTACACTCACTCTTGTTTTGTTTTATTGTGTACTGCCAAACATTTCTATTTATGTAACATGAATTGTCTTACAAAACTATCTACCATTTAATCTCAACGATGTTCTCCAGTCACAAAAAATACCCGATGCTTCTCTTCAGTTTTTCTTTCCACAAATAATCCTATTTCTGACAACATTTACAAAACTATTATTATCATGTATTATTGATTAATAGTACTTGAACTATTAACTCCATTATTAGCTTCCCACATCATTGTCATATGCTTTGCCCATCAATTATTTCCTTCAAAATCATACGCAATTGTCTCTGTTTTAATCTTACTTATAGCTTGCTATTCACAGTCTTTCAATATATGATTCATATCTTCTAGGTTTTATCACACTAATGCAATATCAAATGTGAACATTATACATTATAATTTTAACATTACTAAGGAGAACAGGTAGGATGCTCAACTCTGAACCATKATGCACGCCTACTCTCACACTATAATTTGTTTTTTACACATACACTTTTTTATTCATTCTTGTCATTAGCCCTTCACACATTTTACGTATTACTTCACATATTCATCGGTACTTTTTCCTTTTTAACATCTACTATAATGTTTTTCCTGGAACTATCATATGCCTTTTTCCAAATCTATAAACAGCAAGCAACATACACACATTTCTTTTCTTTTCCCTGTACTCTAATCTGCTTCATACAGAATTTYGGTTACATAGTAGATCTTTCAAAYATAAGCCCAAACTGATTGTTCAAAAATAAAAATTAAGAAACATACAAAATTTGAAATTTATAATAAATCAAATCAAATAATTAATATTTAATAAAATTTGATGAATTTATGTGTAATCTAATAAAAATTTACTTATTATTCAAAAAATGAATAATATTTAACAACATACCACATTGTCCACCTTCATCTGAACCATCTAAACAATCATTTTTACCGTTGCATAACATGTCTACAGAAATACATGTTCTCTTATTGTCACAAGTGATATTTGGGTAAGAACAAAATAAAGATGATGAATTGTTGATTTCATGCGAATGGCAATTTTCAAGAGTACAATTTTTAATTGAAGCTAAAAAAAATAACACATTAACTTAGTACTTGGATAGAGTTATGGTTTTTAACCACTTTATCTTTAAGGAGACAGAGCTCAAAAACAGAAATAAACTCAATAACTAATCTTTAATGTAAACAGAACACTTGTGTGTTCTAATTTGATTGTGAAGAAATAACTAAAATTGATAAACTAATCCAGCACCAATAACATTATCTGTAGGAATATTATTTTTTTCAATAAGTATCATATATACTAATTTTTAATATAAGTTTCAGTAGAAAGCGCTACTCTTATAAAATAGAGTTTTTAAAAATAACTAAAATTGATAAATATAATCATATAAATAAAATATTTTTATAATAYATGAAAGTTTTTAARTATTTTATTTTCTAATACAATATATTTATATTTATACATTTTAGTTAATAATAAGTAGTTTAAACAATTAAATTTTACTCAAATTAATAAGCTATAATTAAGCATTAATATAAATAATAAGTATATATTACTTCCATTTATAATTTTTAACTTACTACAATTGTTTTCATCACTGCCATTAGGACAATCAGGTAATCCATCACATACATAATGTTTATCGATACAAAAACCAGTGGTATTTAAACATAGAAACTCATCATTTGAGCAGACATAGTTAGTGTTGTTTAATCCACTACTACAGTTTAATTCATCTGTAGCTCCATCACAATCAATAACTCCATCACATTTTTTTTTTAAAGGAATGCATGTATTGTTTTTCACACAAAGAAACTAATATAAAATGTAAATAACACATATAGTATTAAAGAGCTAAAGATTAAAAATACAATACAAAATAATTTATCKTACTTCACCAGAACAATCAGAACACTTTTCTTCATCTGAACCATCTCCACAATTATCTTCTGCATTACAAATATATTCATAAGATATGCAATGTCCATTTGTACACGTAAACTCAAATTCTTGACATGTGGGTATTTCTAAAAAAAAAATTGTGTATTATAAAATTATGTATTATTATTAAATATATAATGTARTTGATTTTTCTATTATTAAATGTACATAGAATATTTGATTATAGAATTAATAAAGTAAGATTCGTTATATTTCTATACAATGGGCCTACAGAAACAAATAAGCTTAAACTCTAAGAGCCCATGAGACTAACTAGYTAAAATATTGTGTGAAGATCAAACTAATATATCMACTTAACCAATAAGATAGCCTAGGGTTTGAATATGTATAGCTCTAAGTATTCAATAGATAACTAAATCATATGCCTTTATATAAATATGCCTACCAAGTATTTTTATTTTTTTTTTATGCAATCTACAATCTATACCACTTAGGCACAGCAAGTAAATGTGAAACAGATCAGTTATATACAAATTATTAAAAAATAAATAAATACATCATATCCTTAGTGACATTTATACATACCTAGTATTTAAAAATATAAATATTTAAAATTGATCAACAATAAGATAATAAGTACCTATTTAACACTTGCTAAAAAATCTAAATCTAAATAATAACATTAAACTAATTCTATGACAAAATCAATAATTCAAAAGGTTTGATAAAATATTTTATTAACTCCAAAATATAAAATAAATTTTGTATAATATATCTAATTAATGAAACTTTCTAAAAAAAATATGAAATGCTTTAATCTTAAATTTAACTGATTGTATATGACATACCACAATATTGGTGTTCGTCAGATGTGTCTCCTTCACCACAGTCAAATGTGCCATCACAAACCCAAGAATGAGGAATACAGCGTTTAGTAATTGAACATGAAAACTGTGATGCTAAACATGATTCACATAATTCAGGATTCTCATCAGATTTATCATCACAATCATTATCACCATCACACAACCAGAATTTCGAAATGCATTTATTACTATCCCTGCACGTATAGTTTTCTTGAGGACAAGTATGTTTTCCTATATTAATATACAATAAAATAATATTTAAAAWAATAATAATAATAATTTTTAGCTGAACTTGAAATCGAAAAATTAATTTTTGATTTTAATTTCAATTAGGCTGTCTGATATTAAAATATTTTTTTTAATTTAAAAACGAAAATTATATGCTAATTTTATCATTTTTAAATTGTTTTCCAACAGTCATTAAAGTGTTTTATGATACTTATTTAGATTTTAATAATAATACTTATTTTAGTTTAAATTTTAATTATCACTTTAAATTTTTATGATTTTAATAAAAAATTATCCTAATAGCTATACATGTGAATTGTCAGTTGTGTGTTCTATAAGTTTCATACATGAGTTTATGAAACAGACCTAATAAAACAAAATATAAATATTTATTTAATTATCAACCTATGAACATTTGCTATAATTATTTTCTAATAAAAAGCAAATTAAAAAAA